AAGTTGAACAACATTCTCCCGTATTATCATCATCACCACCACCACCATCATGTTCTACGACAAAATCTTCTCATTTTAATAAGCTTCCATCAACATTGTTCAATGATACACATTATTTGTCAGCAGCGACAACTGACAGTGATTTTTCTGCTAGTAAAGTTCTGAAACCATTACCATCATCATTAAATCATCATTTGTTAGTTTCACAACGTTTAAGCGAGATGTCTGATACATATTGTGATTTGTGTAATGCGAATTTCAACACACGAGAAAATTACCTTGTACATATGCGTACTCATTCTCAACAAATACCTTCATTAATTTCTCGTTTTCCACCACTACCGCCAACATCTAATGAATTGCATCGTATAATAAATGAGTTTTCATTAATTGAACGAACAATAATGTGTGAGAAATGTAATAGATCATTTGACAATTTTCAAATCTATTTACAACATTATTCATTACAACATTGTTTACAACTAATTAAATGTCTCATATGCTATGATTTGTTTGAAACAATGCAACAATTTTATAATCATATTGAACGCTTACATCCATCAAAGACAATTGAATCATACAAATGTCGACTTTGTAATGCGGTTTATAAACAAAAATCTGATTTTATTTCACATGTTAAAACTGTTCATTATCAACGCATCAAACAACAAGAACAACAACAGTCATTTTTAAAAAATTGTCCGCATTGTCCATGTATATTTCATAATCATGCAGAATACGTTAATCATATATTAACAATACATGAAATTAATTCAAACGATAAAACACAAATCTATTGTCGTTGTCCATATTGTTCAATTAAACTTCCCATTGGTCTACTTGATTATCATATTGAAAATGCTCATAATAACAAAAAATCTAACAATCACGAGAATGGAACTAGTAATGGACATTATTCTCTAACATTGATTGAACAAAAAATAAATAATAAATTACACAAACCATCATCAATTAACAAACCAGGTATGTCAATGCTCGATAGACATGAATTATTTACACTAAAAAAAGATAGTTCGAAACAAAATTATAAAGATTAGTTGTTGTTTTTTCAATGTTTATAACTTATTCACTTTAATAAACTATTGATGGTTTTTAAACTGTTTACATACTTGATGTTTTGTTATTTTGATTTTAGTTGTTTATTCAACTTCAACAAGAAAATCTCCCACGACAAATTGTCCATCGTCGACAACATATCCCATTTCAAATACAACTTATTCTTGTCAAATATGTGATTTAAGATTTAATAATGAATTATTACTTATTGAACATAAACGTCTTGAACATAATATTCATACATTAAGTCCAACATTAATCGATAATTGTATAGAATCATCTGTTACTCATTCATCATCAACAATAACATCATCATTTAAATGTTCTTATTGTGAAAATTTATTTACATCTAAAACTCAATTAGAACGTCATACTCGTATTCATGTTTCATCAAATAATTTACGATGTAATATATGTGATCGTTCATTTTCTACTATTGAAATATTATCTGAACATAAATTAACTCATTGTAAATCAACGACAACTAATATTTGTATTTATTGTAATCAAGTAATATTAAATGAAAATGAATATAAACAACATTTATATAAACATAATAATAAATCATCTCTAACTACATCATCACTTTTTGGTGATTCAAATTCAACTACATTATCAACAATTCATTGTATTATATGTAAACAAAGTTTAATGAATGAACATGAAATTAGTTTACATATTCATTTTCATTTAGCAAAACTAATGACTACAGCAAATTATCATGAAGTATCTTATATTTGTGAACAATGTCATTATTTATCGAATAGCAACGATAATTTTATAATTGATTTAAAAAAATATCGATTAATATGTTATCGTTGTCTTGAACGAAATGAGAATACAATACAAGAACAGACAATTTCAATGTCTCAAGGTAAATAGACAAATTTCTTTTATTTTCTTTGACGAATTACATTCGTATTGAAACTTACTCGTTTCATAATGACTAACTTGTTCTAGAATCAAACGATGGTTCTAGTAGTAGCAATCCAATTTTAAAATGTTCAAAATGTATTGATATTGATTTCAATTCTTTGAAAACATTTCAACAACATTTTGAAACTGTCCATAATGATTCATTTAACAATTATGAATATCAGTGTATTAAATGTAATAAATTATTTGAAAATTATGATGATATTTCTCGACACATATCATCTATTCATAAAAAATTATCATTAAAAACATCATCGAGTGGATTTTCAATTGATACAATGACGACAACAATTGAAACAAATGATCAAAAAAATCATTGTTATGTATGTTCAAAAAATTTTTATACAACTGTTAAATTACAAATTCATCTAATTGAACATGAATTTCCGAGTCGTGATTTTATATGTACAATATGTCAACAATTAATGGCTGATTCTCAACATTTATATAATCATATGATACAGCATGGTGCACGTGCAAAATTATATCCATGTCAAAAATGTGACACATATTTTATGTTCAATATACAATTGATTAATCATAGTTTTACGCATAAAAATGAACATCATCAACGATTATTGTCATTAACAAAATTATCCAGCGATAAAATTGAAAATTGTATTCCGGTATACAAAATTTATATATCCGAAAGATCTTCTCATTTGCTACATTTTTCCTTTCTCTTACTTTTTTCTAGCCAATTGTTGGTGAAGAACATGAAATTAGATCAAAGTGTAATGGTCATTCAACACCAATAAATAAAACACACGAGATAACAGTCCAAACACTGGATGAACAAAAAGTTATTTGTGAAGACAACACGGTAGAGCTACCCGTTGTCATAGATAAAAAAATGACACAAGAAGAACAAAATCTTGTGGTGGAACCGTTAACATTAAATGTACGTATTGATTAATATGAAAAGCTTTCTCTAAAGTGAATATCTTTTGATTAAAAAATACGTGCTCACTTAGTCGAGGTTTTTCTTTGTGCGAGGGAAATTACATTGGCAATGACAATTCTCGCTTCATATTCATTTCATATTCATCTCACTCCTCATTTTTCATTTATATCAATGTTTATACTGTTGTTCAGATGGAACGCCCGAAATCTCAGTGTCGAAACTTCAGCCGATTGTTTTCTGTTTAAATAAGCAAGTTGGTCAGATGCTTACAATTTATAAATGTAGAGCAAAAAAAAGTTGAATAACGGGTGTGCCATAATAAACTGGACTAAATGTTACTGCATTTTTTTCGTACTTCCTCTTCAAATTAGAAGTTTCTTTACATACCAAAAGATAGAGAATTTCAAGCTCTATAAAACCTACTATTTGAATCTCTGAGAGCATTTTTCTCGTTTGAGCACCATTCAAAATATTGAAGAGTGCTAAGTTGTCGAACTGCGACACACTGAAAATAGAAAAACATTTGCCTTGATCCAAAAATAGATTCCATAAGATTTTTGAAAACATCAGAAGATTCACCGGAAAATTCTGCATCTTCTCACATATTTTTCGAAATTTTGCAGTTAAATCTTCTAGGAAAATTTCTCTGTGCAAAAAGCTGATAAATCTAAAAAAACCTAACTTTTGAACCTATTTTTCACAGAATTTAGTTTTTGGACTATAAAAGCAGTAAAACGTTCTGAATCCAGGGCTTTAGTCTTATTATCTTACATAGAATTAAATTCTGCGTCTTTTGATATATAAACAAAGTTTCTCAATTGAAACCATTAATTAAAAAAATTAATTTAATTTGAAAAAATTGAAAAGTCGGCTGAGAACTAATTATGAGATCAGCTGACGTAGTGGAAACATTGTATAAGATTGTAAATGAGTGAGATCGATAGAGCGCAAAATTTTCGATCTTTCTACCTAGAAAATCAACTATTGAACCTCAGACAATGTGCTAAAAATCTAAAAAAATGAGGCGACAAAAGTACGTCGCAGTTCGACAGCTCAGCACTCTTCAATATTTTGAATGGTGCTCAAACGAGAAAAATGCTCTCAGAGATTCGAATAGTGAGTAGGTTTTGCAGAGCTTGAAATTCTCTATCTTTTGGTATGTAAAGGAACTTTTTATTTGAAGAGGAAGTACGAAAAAATGTGTTAATATTTAGTCCAGTTTATTATGGCACACCCGTTAGAAACATCTTCACATCTGAGTCTCATATATTCTTTACCTCATCAGAGAATGTTTTTCAACACATAAGACAACTAATAAATCCATTGAGAATCCTTGTTTCAAAATAACGAGGATTCAAAAATGTTCCATCTAATACGAAACTATCGTGAGCTGTTGACGATCTAGTTGTTATAATCAAAAGGTGCAAAATTCAGTTCTGTACAAAATATACATTCCGATTCCGACATTCGTCTGCATAATATTTAAAGCATTAAGATACCAGTTTTCAAAACTTCTTCACTTATTAATCTATTCAGGTACCATATTGTGCAGGAAAAGCGTTATGCATTAAAACCAAGCACATAAATAAAGTCTCCAGAAAATTCTGCATGTCAGTTGATCTTTTCTACTTCATCTTTTAACATTTAGGATTTTGAAATAAAGATACTAGTAATATCTAGTAGCATTCACTTATTTAGCGTCTTGTAAAGTAAACAGTGACTGCTTGAATTATAATCTTACTTATACTTACGTATGTGATATCATTGATTGAATTTGGATTGAATTTGATTAGTGCAAAAACATTTTATATTATTAGGAGCTCTGCAATTCTTATCTGATGTGGATTCAACTAATGAACGCGGTTTTAGAGCGATTTTCTTGCTCTAGAAACCGTAATAAAGATGTTCTGATATTTGATCTAACTGCCAAAGGATGCCCTTGCTACGGCCTTAGACGTTTTTTTCCGGCAGTTTTTCTTTGCCTTACATACATTGCAAAAGACTTGTAATCAATAATTATCCATTCAAAATAAAATTTGAGCTTGGTTTCGTCTAAATGCACTTAG